AAGAATTGATAATGTGGGCTTAATTAAAATTGGAATTGTCATTGGGCATGGTAGTGCATGCCTCTAGTCCCAGCTATTAGGTAGCCTGAGGCAACTTAGCAAGGCCCTATCTCAAAGTAAAAAAAATAAAAGTAAAAATTAAAAAAAAATAAGCAGACCTGGGAGTATAGCTCAGTGGTAGAACACCCTTGGGTTCTATGCTCAATACCAAAAAAATTTAAATAAAAATATCTACTCTGAAAAATTTATATTAAGGGAACAAAAAATAAGCCACAGATGGGTTAAAATATTTGGAAAATACATATCTAAAGTGGACTTGTATCCTAAACATGGTAAGAAACCAACAATCCAATTAAAAACAGGTGAAGATCTGAAGTGACAACTCACCAATGAAGATATGAAAATGGCAAAGAATCATAGAAATGCTTCTCAGCGTCCCCTGACATGAGGGGAAACGACCTACACTGCTGGGTTGGCACTACATGTGTATTAAGTGGCTGCAACCTTCTTTGATGCAGTCTCCATTGGAAGATGTAGAACCAGAACTCTCATTTATTACTAGTGGAATACAGAGTTCATCACTTTTAAAAGTTTAATTTTTTCCCAGAGTTATACATGAGCACACCATATGATTCAATATGAACCTAAGAATTTTCAACTGCTTAGAAAATATGTCTTGAAAACATGTCTAAATACAGCATACAATTACACAAGAAGTTCTATGCAGAATAGCCAAATAAATTAAGGAATCAGAATGTGCCTTAATGACAGAAATGCAGTACATTCGTGTGATGGAGGCCTGGGGGTCTCTGAGCTTCCCCAGGCCTCTGACCTGGTCCATCTGGGCTGCCCTTACTCTTGTGCCCCACACTAGGGCACAGTAGTGGGTTCTGTATGGAAACACCTGTAGATGCAGTTGATAAACAGGCTCAGGATGCAGTTGTTGCCTATGGAAAGAGATTTTTTAAAGTTGTACATGCATTCATTCATCTCAGGAAAATGCAGGCATAACAACCCAAGTCTGTATCTTTGCCCGGAGAACACCTGGAAAAGGACAGACAGACATGGAGGCAACTCCAGGATCCCCACATGGCCACAATGGCCAGGGAAAGCCTGGAGGTGGCTGTCATTAGAGGTCCTGCCTCTGAGTATCTCGGAGCACTTCATGCTGCAGCTTTATACCCCCATCCCAAATTTTAATCTCATCTCTTTCCACAAGATGCAATTCAACTGTATTTTGAGCTTGAATTTTTTTTTTTACTTTTCTGTTTTTGGGGGGTACTGGAGATTGAACTCAGGGATACTTGACCACTAAACTACATCCCCAGTCCTATTGTGTATTTTATTTATCTGTTGGTATTGGGGATTGAACAGGGCCTGTGCGCGCGAGGCGAGCACTCTACCTTCTGAGCTATATTCCCAGCCCTGAGCTTAGATGCCTTCTAGGGAGAAAGGGTGCTACAGAGAGAGCTATGCCACTGCCTAGCCCTGATGTAAAACCCCTGAAATTTAGTGTTCTGTTTATTTCCAACACATAAAATTTGCACATTTAAGCTAAAATGGAGCCCACTATTCCATGCCTTGATCTGAAAAAAGATTTTGCTATAGTTTCAATGTCTGCATTCCACATTTCATGTGTTAGAATCTCAACCCCCAAAGTCCCAGAGTCCAGAAAGCCCAGGGCTGGACAAACCACCTCTCCTACCTCCTCCAGCTTCTCCTCTAGCTATCTACAGTTTGGAACAGCCAAGGTGTCTCTTTTAATCTCAGAAGGAAAGGTGCATCAGGAAGGCACAAAAGAGGATGGGAAATCCACCCTTGTCTACTCTCCCTGGGCCTTCCTCAGCCATGTTTCCTTCTCAATACTCAAGGGAGATGCCCCACAGACACAAGCATGTCCAAATTCAGTCATACCCCACTCAGAAGGCTATTGCAGGAGTGTGACCTTGGGCACAGGTGGTGGGAAGGTGGAATACTTCCCTGTCTAGGGAAGACTTCACTGCACAGAAGTCACAGGAAGCTCAATTCTGATCTGTGACTGCTGAGCTGAAAAGACCCACCTTCGAGTCCTGAATAATTCTCAAATTCTCCCTCTAAAACAGGAAGCTGCCAACTACACTACTGAAGGATGGCAGTGGTTTCATCTAAGCAGAAAACTTAAGAAAATTCTTGATACCTCTGTTTTTTATTCAAAATGAAGCTCTATAACTTGTGTTGAAAGGTGAAAATCTGTACCTGTTCCCCATGGGGTGCTGGCCTGGCTCCCAAGGTACATTTCTTCCCAGATGCCCTGAAAGTTCAAGTAGCATCCTTTCTCTCCAGAAGGCATCACAGGAGGCCCAGCATTTGGGCCACTGCACTCAGAAAACCAACACAGCATTACATGCAGAGGCACCTCTGCCAGATTCCAAGGCCTGTCAACCATGTACTTTGCTTCTTGCTGTCTTCATCCGTTCGGATTACGGGTGTGGGATGGTAGGCTTTATTTCTGTTTGAGTTCCAAAATCTTGGCCTGGAATAATCCGAACAAATTTCAGAGTTTCACCGGAACTGCCACGAGAGGGTGCAGAAGCACCGCTGAGCAGGGAGTATTTAGCATCCTGCCCTGCTCAGGCAGGGGGTGCCCCGAGCCATTTTCTCCGACCCCTGTGAAGCTCCGATTTTGAGTGCTGAGGTGGAATGACTCCATGCCTTGTTTGTACAAGTAAACCACCACCACCACCTACCAGGCACAACCATAAAGCACAAAGTGATAAAGAAGTTAATCATGCTGATAAGAATGACCACATGTGAACTTACTGAATTAATTTGAAGCACGTGGATGCACAAGCTTATCAAACACATATTGGAAATCCAGGATCAGGAGTTCATCAAACATGCCAGACCATGGAGTAAGCAACCCCTCATTTGAGATCCCTAAAAGGAGGCATGCCCTGAGACTGGACATTGTGAGCACCCTGATCCCATCACCTGATCAATTCTCATCATGAGCCTTGCCCAGGAAAATCACCACCACAATAAACCTCTGAATCTCCATCCCCAGGCTTCAGCAGAGTACAACTTCTCCTGTCCATGATGATAGCACACGGCCCACTCCAAGCTGATATCTCAAGCTGACACTCTGAAACTGCTCTCTATTCCGAATGTTGGGAGTCTCCATGAGAACTCCCTGGGCCTTTCAAACATGGCGGTGGGCAAATTGCCAGTGGGCGGCTAGAACTCCCAAGGCCTTTCAGATAAGGAGCCACTAATGCAACATGGTGGCAGGCAAGTTGCCAGTGGGCAGATAAAAAGTTGCTTTGAAAATTTTCTAATTGGTCCTCCTGTCTTCCGTGATCGTGGACAGCTGGTGCCCCCCATGACTCTTATGCAGGGTGGACATGCATGCACCGTAGGTGATGATCTGACCTTTACTATGATTGGCCCCGGGAGCTTCCTGGTTTAAGATAACTGACTCTCACTTTCTATATAAGCTAGAACCAGCTTGCAGTCAAGTGCTTCATCTTTGTCACTGCTATCTGTGTGTGCGTTTTGATCTCCGACGACGAACCTTGGCCTTTCACTGAACGTGGCTCTGCACCCTGGACAAGTTCTATTTGACCACCTACAGTAATTCTGCATTTATATCTGCTTTTTGCCTTTGCTCAATTATATATATAAATAATTGTGTAATGTGTGATATGTGATTGAGAGTTATAGATATTAGAAATTAAGTTGAAATAAAAGAACTTGTGTTTGCCTGGCTTATGACTACCCGGTTTCCTATAGATTTAATGCACCTTCTCCCTGATCTTCCAGCCTTCTCAGAGCCTCCTTTGCAATATCACAGGTCTCTTTCTCTCTCTAGGGCACGGTAGCACACAGTCCCTAGAAAGTGTTTGGCATAAGAGCTGATCTCATGGGCACCTGGAACCTGCCAGGTGAATCAGTGACAGGCCCCTGTCCTAATTCCTGCTCACTCACAGCAATTTAGGCTTTGGGGCCATCTAGGCTCATGCTTAGTTACAAATGTCAAAATGAGGCAGGAGTATAGAGTTAAACTGGTGACAAAAGGCACTAAATGCTCTATGCTCAAGATGGATGGTCAAAAACTCTAGCCAGCTGCATTCATTGTTCAAAACTGAAAAAAAAAAAAATCAATTGATGTAACCAGATGTGACCACAACTGAAAGTAACCAGGACTCTCATTGGAATTCACTTCCACAGTAAAAGAAACACCTGGGGCAAGACTTAACGATTTGAGACACATTTATGATCATGTGCAAAACGGTGCAGGTGGACTAAGAAATTGCAACTTAATAATGAATATTGCTATGTAACCTATAAATATGCAAATTTCTGATCCACAGCTCTGTGTTTATCCTTTGCCTTCCTTGCCCTTCTGCCAATGGGGCAGAGCCACCTCTCCTGGCTTTTCTGCTTATGAGTAATCACATTGCTATATTAATCAATATTAATCAATATAAAAATTCTTTCTAACCCTCTCTTTATTAGTCCTGTTTGATTTCATTCCTTTAGCATGAGCTAAATGACCCGCTGAGTCGGTGACAAAAGTTGAGACATTTGCTCAAATTTACCCATCAAAGAACTACAACCTGCAGCAACCTCCTGCTCATAAGCCTGCAAAAGCTGATGGCCCTCCCTCCACGCCCCGGAACCTAGACCAGCCCGGCCCAAGGCCCCCCGACCCCGACCCAACCCCGAGTCCAGCCCCTGCACACAGCAGCTGAACCCGGGCGCTCCGGGGCCCAATGTCACTTTGTGGCCGGCCGCCGCTAGGCCCTGCGCCAGCCACCCCGTGCGCGGCGGGGTCCTTCGGGCGCTCTGCCGGGCAGCCCTGCTCGGGGTCCTTGGCGCGGTTGCGTAGCAGCTGCAGGACGCTGCACCCCGTCTGGCGGTGCTGCGTGAGCGGGCTGGCGGCTGGGCCCGGCGTGGCTACGGGTCCGCAGGGCGGTGGCGTCCCTGGTGTCTCCAGCCGTTGCCCCGGGTCGCACGTGAGGACGGGGCCTCCCAGGGTGCCTAGGCCGGCGGGGCCCGCCCCTCGGAGGCGCTTCGAGGGCCCTGGGCGGAGGGAGGGCCTGGGAAGGGTTCTCTCAGCCGAGCGTTGAGTGCCCAGAAGTGTTTGTCGAATGCAAGAGAGCTTGTCCCCACATCTCGAGGACAGCATCAGCCATTGAAGGCCTTCGAGCTCACAGACCTAGGTTAGGTTTGGCTTTCGTATAGGTCGCTGCGCCGCAGAGTGGACGTGGAAGGAGAGAACCCTTACCATGTTCACCAAGCATCTGCCACTTCCCAGGCACTGCACTAACGGCTGAGAGGACTGCAGTGAGCAAGGCTCAGTTCCTGCTAATGCAAAGGCATTACAGTCAACTCCTGTGCACACCTTTGAACTCAGTGCGAGGTCTGCCCAGTAAGTAAGTGCGAATTAGTGCTGTTAGGTCCTCATCAGAGTATCTTTTCTGTGTGCCTAGCTAGTTCAGGAACTTAGAAACGTTTGCAGTGCCATATTTAGGTGTGAGGGGAGTAGAACAGGCTAGAGATGATGTTATACATAGGCACTGGATGGTGGTGGTGTCTTGTATATATGGGAATGTGAAGAGCAGCAGTTGTGATGGGCAGGATTATAGTACCTGTGTTAACATGTAACTTGCCTGCAGGCCTTTCATTTCCTATTTACAGGTCTGATGGTCAATTACATGTCTGAATCTGGCACTAAGGGAAGCATTCTCCATGTAGTTACTATTTAGGAGCTGCTTGAAATTACTAGAGGTTTAAAAAATATCTCCTGTAGAAGAGGGTTTGGGGAATATCCATGTTGAGGAGAGACAGGCAGCTGCTGAATGCAACAGGATGGAAGATTAGGGGGAGGTGAGAGGTGAGAGGGCAGATAGTCAGGAATGTGGGTTAGGCATCTTTGGCTATGTAGTATATGTTATTTGGTGATGAGAACTCAGATTGTTTTTTGCCTTACAATGTCTTGTACGTATCATGTGGCATGGGTACTATTTTTTGTCACTGTTTGACAAGTAAGAAAACCCATATGTTGAACTTGTAAAGTTTCAGCATCGCAGGTGGGAAGTGTGGCCTGAGCTTACTTGCACTAGGAAGATAACAGAATCTTATGAGACAAGGTTACGACCCTGAGGCCTAGCATGTGGCAGTTACATCAGTGGTAAAGGGAGAAAGATGTGTGTCCTTGGGTTCCTTTCTCCCATCCAGGAGGAAGAAACAGATTTGGCTGAGGGTAGTTCTTATCTCTAATAGCAACCTCTTTTTGACCTTCCCAGACACCGACAAGATCATCTAGCTGGGCCTCTACAACTGAGAGCCAATGGCAGGGGATAGAACCCAACCATGTGAGCTGGACCAAGAGAAATACGATGCTGATGACAACGTGAAGATCATCTGCCTAGGGGACAGTGCAGTGGGCAAGTCCAAGTATGTTGGGAGATTACGGAAAAATGACCAGGCCCAGAGTGGATCTGGGTTGTTAGAAAAGTCCTCCATAGTGGCTTCTATGGCCTGGTGAGGGAGCAGTCTTGGCTGGAACACAGGTTTACATGGAGGAACAAGGAAACCACCTCAGCAGATGTGTGTGTTGAGGGAGTGGGGGGTAAGTCAAAAAGACAGAGGAAATTTGGGTATTTCCACAAGTCCTGATTGAAAGTGTAGAGCAGGTTACCCTAGAGACTACTGACGTGATCAAGGGTGAGGATGTGAAAACTGGGGAACTTCTGTATGTGGTATGTGGGCTGAGGGATTATGGGCCTGAGACAGTGGGACTGGAAAGAAGAAAGTGACAGATTGGTTAAAGGTGGTAAAGATGCTTTCTTGAAGCAACTCCTGAGGCTGAGAAGTATGGATAGCAATCACAATCAATTTAGTCCATTGACTTCAGTACCTACCTGATCCACTGTGGAACCTTCTGCCTAGAGAAGTGAGGAGAGGCTCTGCAGTGAGTGCTGGCGGCTTGTCCTCATGAGATGTGCCACTTCTCATCCCTAGCAATATCTCAGGTAAAATGTTCCACAGGTAGAGACCAGGATGGCAACAGTATATCTGAAGAAAGGTGGGTAGGTAAGAAAAATCTTGGTTCAGTTTCAATGGGACTCAGGAACTCTTTGCAAATTTTTAAGTATCTCTAAACCCAGGAGAAACTCTCTTTAAGAAACTAATTAATGGGCTAGGGTTATGGCTCAGTGGCAGAGTGTTTGCTTTGCATGTGTGAGGCACTGAGTTTGATACTCAGCACCACATATAAATAAAAAAATAAAGATCCATCAACAACTAAAAAGAAATTTTTTTAAAAGAAGCTAATTAATGCCCATGTTCCTCCTATCTGGGGGCATCTGTCTATGCACAGCCTCAGTTCCAGAGGGTAGTTTTGAAACTGTAATGCCTTCTTGAAGTTTAGAGATTTACAGTGCTGGCAGCACAGATCAACAAGCCTTCTTAAAGTGTGCTTTTTTCCTCATGTGGCATATTTACTATTCTAGATGCCATTTTCCTTATGAGCACCCAGGACTCCATTGAGTGTGGGCTCTAATGATGGCTCCCAACCCCCAAGCATCCTGGGACCTGGTGCTGCCTCCTGGAAAGGCGTTCCCTTCATTCCTGAGTGTGCCATCTGTTAAGAGAAGATATCCTGGCAACACTTGAGCCAGCCAGCTCAAGAGGTCCCGCGTGGACCCCTTTCACTGTCCAAATGCTCAGCACTAGTCAGACCTGCTCCATATATAAGAACCTCCTTTGTTCCCACTTATCACAGCACCTGGCTGAGTTCACTTAACATAATGCTTTCAAGGTTCATCCATGACATAGACTATTCCTTTTATGGCAATAGTATTCCATTGTATCTACACACCAACTTGTTTATCTGCTCCTCCTGAAAGGCTCATGAGTTATTTGTACCTTTTGGATATTCACCATGTCTGTTGGACTCCCTGCAGTCAGGTTTCCGGTATACAACTGGGAGTGACAGTGCTGTGTCACACGGTGACTCTGTGTTCAATGTTATGAGGAACTGCCAGTTTGTCCTCCACAGTAGCTGCATCATGTCACACTCCCACTGACAATGCACGGAAGTTCTGATTTCTCCACGGCCTTACCCACCTTCTTTTCCATTTCTGTGATACTAGTCATTCATCTCATTGTGGTTTTGATTTGCATTTCCCAGGACTAATGAAGCTGAGCATCCTTTGGTGTGCTTATTGATCATTTGTGTATTTACTTTAGGGAAATAGCCTATATTTACGTTGGGTGGTTTGGGGGTTTTGTGATGTTATAGGATGTCTTTATATATTCTGCTTACTAAACTCCTATCAAATATATGATTTACAAATATTTTCTCTCATTCTTTGGGTTGTCTTTTTACTTTCTTGATAGTTTCCTTTGATGCACCAGAGTTTTTAAAAATTTTTAAAATTTTTATTAGTTATTGATGAACCTTTATTTATTTGTTTATATGTGGTTCTGAGAATCGAATCCAGTGCCTCACACATGCTAGGCAAGCGCACTACCACTGAGCCACAACCCCAGCCCAAGTTTTTAAATTTTATGATTCTAATTTACCCATTTTTTTCTTTTTGAGTTTTTGGTGTCATATTTAAGAAATCATTCCAAATCCATGGACATGAAGATTTTCCCTGTATTTTCTCCTAAGAGTTTAATAGTTTTAGCATTTCGGGTCTTTTTGTTACTTTTTGTTAAGTTTTGCTCAGGGTATGTCTTAAGGGTCTACATTCTTTGCTTATTGTTGAGCACCGTTTATTGAAGAGACTGACCTTTCCCCACTGGATGTCTTGGCATCCTTGTCAAAAATCGACTGACCACACGTGAGAGGTTTCATTTCTAGGTTCTATTTTGTTCCATTGGCCTACACCTCTACACTACACTCTTGATTACTTCACATTTGTAGTTTAGGTGTGAAATCAGGAAATGTCAGTCCTCTAACTCTGTTTTCCTTTTTCAAGCTTGCTTTGGCTACTTGGAATCCCTTAGATTTCCATGTGAGTTTAGGATCTATTTTCTGTTCTACAAAAGAAAAAAGACGTTTTGATTTTGAAAGAGATTGCATTGGATGTGTAAATTGCTTTGAGTGGTTTTATCTACCACACAGTAAGTCTCCAAGTTCACGAATGCAGATGTTCTTCCATTTACTTGGTCTGGTTTGATTTTTCAGCAACGTTTTGTAGTTTTCAATGTTGCAAGTCTTATGTCTCCTTGATTAAATTTATTTCTAAGTATTTTTTTTCATGGGATTATAAAAGGAATTATTTTCATTTCTTTCCCTGTCATTCATTGCAAGTGAATAGAAGTATAATTGCTTTTTGTGTGTCAATTTTATATTTTTCACCTTTGCTGAATTTTTTTTATTATTATTATTACATATAACAGGTTTTCGTTGTCTTTAATTGTATTTCTGCCTTTCTATTTTGGAAGAGTTTTGCTTCTTGCACAGGTGTGCTGGCTGGAGTTCACAGTACAGTGCTGAATAGAAGCATGAAGCAGGTGTCCTTGCCTTGTTCCTGATCTTGGGGAAAAGCTTAACAGTGTCCCCCCATTGAGTGTGATGTCAGCTATGAGCTTTTCATATATGGCTTTACCCTGCTGATGAATTAGACTGAACAAAAGAATAGAAGAACTAAAATTTAAAAATAGAGAAAAAAAATCAATGAAACTACAAGTTGGTTCTTTAGCTAGACTGACTAGGAAAAAAGAGGAAACACAAATGTAGCTGAGGATATGAGTATTCACTTTACAGAAATGAAAATAATGTATCGAGACTATTGTGAAGAACTGGGTGCCCACAAATGTAGTAACTCTTCTAGTTTACTGAGTATTTTCTCATGAAGTGATGTTTGATTTTGTCTTATCCTTTGTCTGCATCCATTGAAATGATCACCTGATTATTTTTCCTTCATTGTACTCAGGTGATGTATTGAGTTGATCACTTTTCTTAAATTATATTCCAAGCACAAGTCCCTCTTGGTTATGGTGCATAATCCTTTTAATATGCTGCTAGATTTGAGTTGCTAGTGTCTTGTGGTTTTTTTCTGCCTGCAGTTTTCTTTTCTTGTACCCTCATTATCTAGCTTTGATCAAGGCAATGCTGGCCTAATAGAAAAAACTAGTCAGTGTTTCCTCCTCTCTATAATTTTTGGAAGAGTTTGAGAAGGATTGCTGTAAACTCTTAAATTACTGCTAGAATTTACCAATGAAGCTATCCACTCCCTGGCTTTGCTTTTGGGTAGGTTTTTATTTTGATGATGGATCTCACTAAGTTGCCCAGGCTGGCCTTGAATTTTTTTCCTGCCTTCCTATAGGTTACTTAGACTTTTTAAAAAATTGATTTTTATTTATCTATAGTTTTTGAGTGTTCCTCTCTGTGTGGCTCCTGTGGTGGTGGTTTTAGGTATTAAGTTGGAGGCAACTTTCCGGTCACAGACATTAGGAGTGAAGCATCGCAACCCTGCCTGCTTTTACATCCCTTTACCCTCCCTTATTTAACTGTATCAATATTTCCTTTCCATAACTGAGAGCTCTCATCAGTGTTACAATGTTTGCTTTAACCATCAAAAATAATTTGAAATTTTCAAAGGAGAGAAGACATTGTATTATATTTTCCAGAATTTTTCCTTACCTTGTTCTTTCTTCCTGATACTCTGAGGTTCCTTCTTATATCATTTTCCTTTCTGTTTCTAGAATTTCCTTGAGCCATTCTTTTAGGGTAGCCTGCTAGAAACGAATTCTCTTCTTTCTCATTAATGTGAAACAAAGAAAGAAACAAAAACAAAAACTTAGTTTCTCCTTCACTCTCAAGAATTTTCACTGCATTTAGAATTCTGGGTTGACAGTTCCTCTGTTTGAATACTTAAGAATCATGTGCCCTTTCCTGTGGCCTCAGTAGTTTATGATGAGGAATCCTCTGTCATTTAGTGTTTTTCCCCCAAAGGTAAGTGGGTAAGTGGCTTCTCTCTCTTCCTCCCTCCCTCCTCTCCTCCTCTCTGTCTCCTCCCTCCCTCCCTCTCACCCTCTTCCTCCTTTTCTTTCTCTTTCCCATCCCTCTCCCTCTCCCTGTCTCTCTCTGTCTCCTCCCTCCCTCCCTCTCGCCCTCTTCCTCCTTTTCTTTCTCTTTCCCATCCCTCTCTCTGTCTCCTCCCTCCCTCCCTTTCTCTCCCTCCCTTGCTCTCTCCCCCTGCTTTCAAGGTTTTTTTTTATTTTTCTGCGTCTCTGGAGTTTAGGAGCTGACTAAGCTGTGTCCTGTTGTGGCTTTCTTTGGATTTACTTTGTTTGACATATGTTCAGCCTCTTGACTCCATAGGTTTATGTCTTTTGCCAAATTTAGGAATATTTTTATTTTATTTTATTTTATTTTTAATAAACTTTTTCTTCTTCTCTTTTTTTTTTTTTTTAAAGAGAGAGTGGGGGGGGGACAGAGAGAGAGAGAATTTTAACATTTATTTATTTTTTCTTAGTTCTCGGCGGACACAACA